GGCTGCCAGGCTGCTTGGCTTCTGGTTTTCACAGAATCCCTGACTTCTTGCCTGATGGGCTGCCAAACAGCTGGAAAGCCGGGTCTCCAGGAGCTCCTAAGCTTCTTGGCTTCTTATGGTCTCCAAGCTCTCAGGCAGCTGCTTTGCATGGAACTCAGGACCTGAGGCTCCCCAATGAGGTAGATATGGGTTATGCTCAGTTTCCCTTTGCTTCCCAGCTTTCAGGTTATGTGTTTTACAGGAACTGGACTCCTATATTTGTAGACCTCAGGGCAATTTATGGCAGTCCATTCAGGATCTCTAGGTTAACATATCTATATGAGGCCCAAACTCCTCATGATAGTTGGTTCACTAAACTTTTAGGCAGCCTGTGTCAAGAATCATTGGATAGGCTGGTTCTGCATGCACCCCGGCAAGCATGGCAGCCAGCTATGGATTCACCAAGTCAGGTCTCCAAGGACCCTGGTGCTCTGGAAGGCCTGAGGGGCAAGCCAAAAATTCCTTTTTGTCTCTCTTATAGTACTCTTTTGAAGTTTAGTTCATAACAAACGCTTAAAATTTGGGAAGTCTACATCCAGATATCAGGGATTAAAAACTGCATAAAAATGAGATCACATATAGAGAAGTAGGTATGATTTATGTTAAAAATGATAATGTCTAGAGAAAACAAATACGAAAATGGAAAGAGAGCCATAAGAGCACTAAGTTTGAACTGCCAAGGTTTCTGTATAGAATTGCAAGAAGCATAGCAAGGCAAACAAAGACACTGGAAAATGCTGTACATACTCAAGCAGGGAATTTTGACATTATAAGCTTAACCAAAGAATGGTAAGTAAACAAAAATGTATTGGTACTACTTAAGTAAAATTTTTAAAATATAAAACAAATGAACAACAGTGTGCACTATGGGACATGACTGATCTTTATATACTACAATTTTAAATTAGTAAAATGTGTAAACAAAGCATCTTAATTCATTTAAAACAGCAAATAATTTTATTTGTTAAATATCAGAAGAATTTCCAAGTTCAACTACCTTTCTTTGTTACTTTTAGTAAAGAAACGTTCTTTGTGGTTTTATACATATGGTTATGTTAAAATTTCCATAACAAGCAAAATCTATATAAGAATCCTAAATAGCATGGGTCATCATCAGCATATTTTCCACCCACAGGTTAATTCCAGACTGCTGGCTCCAGTAGAAGTCACTTCCTCAGTATATAACACTTTTGCAAGAGCGAAGGCTACTTGACCTTCACACATACCCATCTCATGACCCTTCCCTTTTAAACCTGGTTTAATTTTTTTGTGTGTGTGTGTTAGCATGGACACGCTCTTTCCCCATATGTAGGAAATACACAGACAATTTTAGATGGCTGATCATCCTTCATCACACCCATGAAATTCCACTGTGGAGCTGAAAGGGATGCAATAACTTGGGGGGGGAGGGGGAAGAAATCATGCTTTACCAGAAAAGTGTGAGATGTCATTTTACAAGTACATTTTAAGAAAATAGAATAACTTTCCCTCTCTCTTCCCTCAAATCCTCAGTCTCAGACTATTTACATAAATTATTTTGACAGATTTTGTACGTAGCTGGCTTCCTGAAGTTCTTTAAGAAAGCCTTTACAGTTGTAGCTACAACAAAGGCTAAAACTGAAACTTTGAAAGTTAAAAGCTGAAACACAAGCACAAAGGACAGAGGAAAGGATGAGGCCTGACATTACCATTCCTATTCTAATGTTTGCACCCAAAACTCTACTAAATATGGGGATGGAAAATAACCTCTATAACTTTTTTTTTTTTTAATTTCAAGATATACTATTTAAAGGTTACTCTGTGAGGAAATAGGTATTTTCATACAAACCCAAGCTGGCAGTCTTCCTCTCATTGGCACAATGCTTTTGGATGAATTTTATAATAGACCAAATAATATCTTTGTAGAGTTTCTCTAAATTTTTCTGTTTGGGCTGATGTACATTGGGAGAACACTATAAATACTGTTTTTCAAAGAAGCATCATAACCAAATATTGCTGTTCCAACATCAACAGAGTTGAGTAGACTTTTCTTAGCCATTTTTCATAATCATTTGTGTTTCTTGGACAGTGCACTTACACTTTGTCATTACCAGTGTGCCTGCAGTAGTAACTTTTCCTTTTGGAAGTAAGGAACTGATTAATAAGAATCTGCTTCTACTAATATAATTCCTTTGAATAAATTACATTGTTGTCTCTTTAAGTCTTATATTTTAAATAAATGTATGAACTAATTTATCCAAAATCATTAGATATTTGTCTAAGACTCACAAGTAGCACTCACAGGTGCTGTGCAAATTTTCTCAGGAGAGTTCTACCACCCGAATCGTATCACTGCCAGCCTACCTGTAAAATCTTCGCTCTATAAGAAATTCTTAAGGTTAAAAACATTTAGAACTAATGCTGGCATACAGAAGTGATGACTGATACCAAACCAATATTATGACTGTCAGAGCTGTAACAGTTTCTGTACTACAGTGTACAATTTATATCTTCTATTTAAAAAGTCTTAGATCTGTCATGGACCAAATATAACTGACCTATATCATATTGCTGTAACAAACAATATCACTTAGCTGTATCATACTGATACAATTCTATTCTATGGGAAGTACTCTGAACCAGCTACCATAATGCAACTGTCGACATATGTAATCTAGGGTTACGGGAGCTTGGATTCTGCTCCCTTTGCAATTAACTTCCTGTCTAACAGCAGGCAAACTAGTTAGACCCAAAAGCTTAAAACTGGCTAGCACCTAAACATTTTGAGAATTCAAATCTTGGCCTTTTGTGACTCTCCTCCCCCTAATGGTAAAACAGAAATGGTAGACTTTCCAATCTTAAACAGATTATGGTGAGAGTAAGTGCATGAGAGATAATCATGTATTCACATACTATAACAATAACAGCCCTATCAGCGTAATAGATGAGCTTCTAAGTTTTTATACCATATGAAATAACCTTTAAGTTGTATTTAGAGGAAATGTCTATGCAGAAAAATGTATGCTGCACTTCATTGTTATAAAAATTTGTTTCTGATACTATTAACAAGTTCTATTTAATCTATGAACCTCCACACTACAAAAGAGAACCACTACAGCTTCCACAAAAGAACACAAAAAGAAAACAAATCCAGATGCCAAGCTCACAGCTATTTGAAACATGGTTTGCAGTCCCAAGCACAGGCTTGGAAAAGCCAGAATGCACATAATCTTTTTAAAGTCATATACTTATTACTGCTTTTGAATCAAGCACTGCATAAACCAAACTGCTTTTTGGAAGATCGTGTAAATTGTTGAATATTATTAACTTTGAATTAAAAAATCAAAATTTTGTTTAGATAGAAATAGTTACTGCACTTCCACAGCGTGGCTATAATCGCTGCTTTATACATATTTCTTTCCATTCAGTGTCAGAGGAAAGGGTATTATTAGTAGGCTTGTTTCAGTGTGCCACTCTGCCTCGGTCTCACACAAAGAACTCTTTGTGGGGTCACAGATTAGCATTTGGGCAGGCAGCCAAGAGACATGAAAGGAGGATGGCTACACTAAGGATGTACATAGCTTACACTCATCAAATACCCAGGGGAAAAAAACAAGAAAAAAATCCGTGTAGTCTATAATTTCAGTAGCTGTCCTCTATCCCCTTAGTTTCTGAAAAAGTGCTTTTAGTGGAAGTTCTAGCAATATGGAGTTCTACTCTGGCACTACAGGTTGCAGAGTATTACACGTAATAAGTATTACCTCAGTTCTGAGATAAAGTAATATTTTAATATTCAGTTATAGCAATATTGTTCAAGACAGGCAGGTATAGTCATATCTTGACAGACATGTAGGTAACAAATAACTTTATTATGCTAGAGTGTATATGTTTAAAAAAAAGAAGGAAAGATAATTCTGAATAACCAGCCTGCTTGAAAAATGGCAAGCAAGCTGCCATTTAGAAAGCATTGTGAAGAAATAGAAAATGCTTAAGTTATAAAAATCAAGACCAAATGTTGTCACAATACTTTCATCCATATATCTGTATCTACATCCATCCATCTGTATAAATTAATAGCAACCTTACAGTGTTCAGTTTCAAACAGGAAACACTGCCTGCAAAGAATGCTAAGGATATCTAGCACTTTGAAGGAATTTCCATTCTTTACATAGTGAGGATCTCAAATGATATGTAGAAGGACATATACTTGTGGTACAGTAGAGAGAAGATGCAAAAGCTGCATTAAATATGGAGGTAAATGGAAACGGAAGATATTACTGTACAAGGATTAAGGATAAAAGTCTACTTAGTATTCCAGGAAACTTCTAATGGGAAACAAAACCTTCCCCATTTATTTTACCACAGGTCAGTGGTAAGAATTCACTGAAGGTGACTTACAGCTTATACTCACCATTTTATCTCTATTTGGAAACTGACATGAAATAAATGAATAGCTCAGTCTTCTGTGCACAACTGACCTGCACAGCAACCACTATTCACAACTGGCACTTTTTGTTGGCAGTCTGAGCAGAAAATCTAAGGATTACATTGGCACCGAGTCTGAAATATGCTCTGAAACCAAATGATGGTCTCTTGAGAACATAGCTGAAGTACCTCATAGTGGAGAACAACTACAACTACCTGTGCTATTCATAGCCTGTGAGTAGAAGCTTTCCGTTTTTGGCATTGTCAGATTTTCAGCATGCTTTATTCAAGAACAGTAGGTTTAGGTCCTGATAAGTTATTAAAATATATTTTCCAAATACAGTAAGCACTGTAAAGGCAAAACAGAATGCTATAACGAGTGCTAGATAGAGGACGATTCACTTTTGAAAAGTGAATACATCAGTTTTTTTAAGCAGTTAACAGAATGAAATGGAGTGTAAGTAGCAAATGGCAGAGTATTGCTGGAAATCATCCAAATATAAAAATTGTATGTGGGTATATATATAACAACACTATTTCTTTAAATACTTTCTTACCTTAGCATTTTCAATGCACGGACAAATAGCCCAAGCTGCACTTGCTTGAACATCTGGATTAGGATTTTTCAACAATGACCATAACAAACGAACTCCATCTAGACGGTCAATTATCCTATTACAGAAACAGACCAAAAAAAGAGATAATTAATTATGGAGTAGACAATGTTAAATTTTAAATTATATCAGTTTGTTTGGAGCACTGCTTTAATAAATATTGGTATAATTTTCTTTAACATACTGTTTTGCTTTATGTAAGTGCTTGTGTTTTATTGTCAGCTAATCGCCATCAACATAGTCAGTAAACATTGCTTACGATAGCAGATGGGTGTGAACAAATGATGTAAAGACAGAATATGTTTTCTAACTAAATCTCATTAATGCTGTTTACTTTTTTCTCAGCACTGTCATTCAAAATGCTTATAGAAGATAAAGTAAAGTAAACTACATTATAACCAGAACTCATATAAACGTGAAAACAAGCATGTGACTTTTTAATGATCTGCATGCAAAGTGAAATCTGAATTCAAGCATACTGGCTTCTTTCATATAGTAACAAATACTTTCCAAAACAAATATTTATGCCCAAAAGTCTGTACTTAACTTTTTATTCAGTCTATGCTTAATGTATTTACCTTACTCTATGACATATTTTAAAATACTATGTTTCTAATCTAGCATTAGAAATTAAAATGGTCACACCACAGTGCATCCTTTGTTGGGCACGAATAATGTGTAACTTGTTTCCCATGTGTTCCTTACCAACAAGGCTAACACTGAACACTATGTTATAATTACTTAAACACACTGCAATCAAGTATCTTCGTGACTAGCTGAAAAATGAATTATCATCAGAATCATCTCTACACCATCTGTGTTATGTTTATATATCCATCAGGCTTGGGGATCATAACTTCACATGAGGGTTCAGTGAATACCTTAAACGGAAAGGAAGGTCAAACAAAACTTAATAGCCTTTACAAACACACCTTTTTTCAAAAAAGATATGTTAAACCCAAAGCAGATGAGCTGAAGATAAAGAAAAATAAATATACGTTCATTTTCTAATCTCAGAAGTAAAAATTCAATTGTATAAAATTAGTCTACATCTTTAATTGTAAATACAAGAGAAATTTAAATACAGGTTGTGCTTAAAAACATCACATAAAACATCTCATTTGTGTTTACAATACATAGGTTTCCCAGGAAATTTTTAAACTAATTGTAAAATCAGCTTTGTATGTAATCCTACCATTATTTGAAGCAGAAAAAATAATTAAGGACATGAACTCTGTCTAAAATATCCAAGGTTTTTATTCATAATGCTTTTATGCAAACTGGTTAAACAACTACGTTTTTCAAAATAATACTTTTTTGCACAAAGCTATGGTTGAGACACTGTAAGTTATTTAAGAACTGCTAATTTTAATACTGCTTATTTTACAATCTCAGCTCCAAATCAATTGCAAGAAAATCACCATTCAAAGGACAAATTCAGAAATCTTAACACATCAGAATAAAACAGCATGATCACAAACTACACGATTACATATATATGTTCAACATAGTAAGGATGACTTAAGTAAAAGCTTCAAAACAAGCTTTTAAATCCCTCCAAACTCCCAACACTTTTAAGCAATTTTAACATTACTTTCGTGTCATTTCAGAAAGCACAAGGAATTTTTTCCTATATTGGAATTAATTAAAAAAGAACCCATGAATCTTTCTTCTAGTCAAGCAGAGTACTGACCATTTACCAACATGAGGTACTTCCTCCCAAGAGGGGCTAAATATAAATGACCCAGCTCCAACCAGTATATAAAAATCAAGAGATAGAAGCCAAACACTGAGTTCAGCTTTTTCCACCACACTTCAAAAAACAACCTCTAGGCTGATTTGTCTTTCCTTTCTATTTTTTTGAAAGCTTCCTTTTCAGTTTAAAGTTTACTTTCATTTTCTTTTCAGTTTTCTTGTCTTCTCTTCAGCTTTTCAAGGTAAACTAGCGTCACTCTATGGTTCATTTTCTAAAGAAGAGTTTTGCTTTTTGCTGGAAGACCAGAAAGACCAGTTGTCTTACACCCAACGGAACAGTTCACAATATCTGAAAGTGTAGCCCTCTGTCCATTCAACGTGTATAAAATAAACTAAAAAACAGTACGGACAAACCAAGCAACTCTCCGAAGTACATTGTTCATCACTGATTACTGCTTTCTCTCAGTTACACTAGATTAACTCAGATGAAAAGAACTCTACATACAAGAACGATGCTCTTAAATTCTCATACTGGAAGAATTATTGTTGTGTAATCACCATACAAGCACAAACCCTTTTATTTTCATGTTGCTGAGAACATATATTTGCCAATTAAAGAAAGCATTGCTAAACAAGTGACTAATCCTTTCTCAGTTCAAATTTTTATCTTTCTGTGGTTTCACTGCACAATGTAGCAGATGAAGAAACTGGGTGTTAAATGAGCGTATCTGCTATAAAAGCAAAGGGAACACTAAAATAAATGGCCTTGTGAAATGTTTCCTCTCTAATAAAGTGCTCAGACATTAGTTTCCTCTCTATGTGAAAATTCCTTTTTAAAGTGGACAAAAATATACATTTAGGTTTCTTTACAATTAAACAAAGAAAGAGATGGGAAAATAGACCTGTAATCTTGAAAATTCCAGCTCTGATGGCATTACACTAAACAATATTCTGATTTGCTTTTGTATATAGCTTTTGTATTTAATTTTCTTCCCCCAATTTATTACAACATTATTAGCAGGACGCTGTAATAAAGCTACTTACCGCTATAAATACAAGCAAACATACCTTAAGTTTTACTTTGGTTGGCATTCAATTCTGTATTCATCCATAGCTAGTACATTAGTCACTCTGTGGTTACAGTCACTTAAATGATATATTTTATAATAATTTGTTGACATTATGATGATAAAATTAAACTACGGTTAAACCTGTATTAAACAACCACTCACGGGACTGCTAAAGGACAGTTCTTTTAATAAAGATGCAGAATATTTTCTTTGAAAGTTGAAGGGTATCTCATAAAAGCTGAAATAATACGATATTTAGTTGATATAAAAAACCTTAATATTTAATATTTTAAAGTTCAAATATTTAACTACTTTATAGAGTAGCTGAACTACATGTATGTAATGTATCTAATGTATAGAACACTATTAACAGTCAGAATCTCAACAGGCATGAAAGTCACCCAAAGTAGAAATGTAAACTTTATTATAGGTAGTTGCTGTCTGGTTCTTCACTATAAGTACATAACAATACATAAATATGCAGAGTTCAGAAGCAAGAGCCCAGATTCTATAGACCTTAACATAGCAGAGGCATCTCACAATAGACCTGGACCAAGATGGCCAGTGGCCACCTCTTCTGATTCAAAGGTCTGTGCTTTTTCGTAGACTGTTCTTATTTGATCACCGATACAATTTAGAACAAGGTGTAAATTACTCTGCTCCTCAAAATAACCAAAAGTAGTTGTATCGGCAGTTAGAAATAGCTGGAGTGAAGAGGTGCTCCTATCATGCACTCCTGTGCTGGCCAGAGATGATTAGAGCAGAGATGAAGGGGTACACAGCTGACATCACTCCAACAAAAAGGCAACTGCAAGGTGTATGAGCAAAACATCTTCCTGGTTTCCACACAGAACAGCTGACATATGGTGTATATAGAATATGTCTTATGGGCAAATAATTTTAATGCAATTAAACCCATTCAGAGATTACTGGAGTGTCTAGGACAGCCTCCGGGAAATCTCAGGTTACAGTGAATTGCTATTTGCTATTTGACCAGTGCAGATAATTTAACAAGAAAATTTTTTTGAATTACTTTTGTTGGCTGTTTACAGTCAACAGTTGTTTAATAAAGGCTTTTCACATTATTTCATTTAAGAACCTTGGTATCATGACATCATCGAACATCATGAGATGTCTGTGCAAGACATGGGTTACAATTCTAGGCATTTACTTTATTATTTTTATATATCTGAAACTAGCAAAGCTGTTAATCTGAAATAGTACTTCTCTTTCAAATTCAAACTTAATATTGAACATTTCCAGTAGAAACTTCAACACATATTGCTTAAACACACATGCATATGCACAGCCTAGACATCTGTTTGTCATATCTATCATCTTTTTCTGTTACAGTGCTATTTGCCAGAACTTTTGAGAAGTCTAGTTTAATTGCCTGCCAATTTAGACCACAAATACAAATGTAAATAAACAAAGTTATACTGACTCTGTATTGTGCTCGCTGGTAAGATTACAGGGTTTAATTCTGGCAGAATGTAATCTTGTCTTTTCTGAAACCACAATTTAGCATATTTCTTAAAACTTTCACTAGTTGCTGTGGACTGCTTTGATAAATAGTATTATATACCAATGACTCAAACTCCATCTGTTTGGCTAAAATAATTGTACGTTTTAGTTTATAAGATTTTAAACCCTCAGTTTTGAATGCTAGAGATGAAGTCTATAGGTTTTCAAATGAAAAGGGCAAATGAAAGTCTAGTAGCAGTTAAAGAATATGCACTAGTCCTCTGTTTTTAGTAAGAGAAAAAGAATAACTTGTAAAAAGTTCCTCAAAAAGACACGTGTACATAAAAGATGTGCAGCGGCATCTGTGTCAGTGGCTGTGCAGCAGACTGAGTAGGGAGAACAGCTTCACACTGTCCACATAATAGTGGACATAAGGACACATTCGGTCACATAGTTATGCTTTTTTAAGACAAGTCAACTTATTTTTTGCTGAGAGAAGCTGGCTGCTGTTCTTTATTTTACATAGCTCAATAGAGTCAATAAGAATCACTTAATTGCTTGAAGTTGCCTTAAAGTAAAGGCTTGGTGCAGAAAAGTAACACTCAGTAGTTGTAGAAGTTAAAGTGTCAACTAGGAAACATGACAGAGAGAAAATACATAAAGGACATATAGAAGCTGTAGATTTACCTATGAGATCTACTAGTCTTCTCTCTTTGTCAGTGCAGGCTTCCTCCGTGGAACATATGATAAACGTACAGTATTTCCCTCAGAAGTTAACTGCACTGTTTCATAGAACACTCTCAGTTTTTTATTTCTTATATTAATCCCATCCTCTTCATTACATATCCTTGAATCATTCACAGAAACTACATAAGCTCCACTCCCGGTCTCCACTGTAGGTTTCCACATACCTACTGCTGCAAATATAACCACATTCAAAATAGAAGACTGCTCAACTGAATATTTAGTCTCTAATCCACCCTAACACAGATGCAGCTAATGAAATATAAGAATATATCTGAAAATTCTCAATCCTTATGAGGGCTTGATACTCCCTTTAAATTTTCCTGCTTTGTTCTGGGTTTCTAGTACGTATGAAAGTCAATGATAGCAGAATCCAGAAAGATCATTATAGTTTTCAGAATTTCTGTAGTGCCAAACTAAAACAGTAACTCTTTAAACAGTGCTTGTCTGTACCAGATGACAAAGAAAACAAGCCTTAAGAAAACAAGCCTTAAGACCTGCCAGCCAAATTTGCCAGGAGAAAAGCTAATAGTAGAGAACAACTGATCTCCTAGAACCTGTCAAGCCATTCTGAGGAATAAGTGATTATGAAATAAGGAATGGAATAGGGATCCAGCCAGATGAACCAGAAAGACCAGAAACAGTTAAGTATCAAACTGCAGTAGGAAGTTCTCATCACCTGTATATACTTATGGGCTACAAGTGGCTTTGTTTTGCTTCTTTCTAGAAGATAATCTTGGCACATGTATTGGGTTTGTGTGGCAAGTTTTTTTTTTGGCTGCAGGGGTGGCTGCTGTGAGAAGCCACCAGAAGCTTCCCCCATGTCCGACAGCGCGATTGCCAGCCAGCTCCAAGATGGACCCACCGCTGGCCAAGGCTGAGCCCATCAGCAATGGTGGTAGCGCCTCTGGAATAACATATTTAAGAAGTGCAAAAAAACCTGCTGGGAAAACAGCAGCTGGGAGAAAGGAGTGAGAATAGTAAGAGAA